GCTCTTCCGATCTCCCCAAAACCCCAAAACCCCTCATAGCCTATGCTTGCCAATTATTAAAACTCAAGTTAATAATATATTATTAATTACAATGTCTTCCAGAAATCCTTAGATTTACGTTGGGGGTCTTAGCAGAAGAACCCATCCAGATGATCTAGAGAAGGCTTTTGAGAAGTATGGCAAAATTAGAAATTTTTCATTTAAGCAGAAATACGCTTTTATCGTAAGTATAGACACATAAGATATTCACTTAATAAGCCTAATGCTCATTCAATCGATACTTAAACCAGAGTTATATAGGAATACGAGGATTATCACGGAGCAAGAGAGGCTGTAGATAGAATGGACGGCAAAGCTTTTGATGGCGAGAAACTTATAGTTGAGCCAACAAGTAAGTGTATATAACCTCTTAAAATGACATATTGCATATAGAGGAGAGCAGAGGACGTAGAGGTCCTTCGCCTAATGATAAATGCTGGAATTGTCAAAGACATGGCCATTGGTAAGGATCATCATTAAAATGAACAATTTGTGTTTGTGGGGAGGAGCAGTCAATAGATTGGAAGTGAGGCGCCACACCGAATCTTTGAAATCCTAAGTCAGAGTGAGTCATCACTAATTCATCATCAACTCTTGAAATCTCAAGTGGTTTTCTCAATTCATGGAGTTATTAAGTAGGGCTTGATGTGCTGATAAAGGAAATCAGGGATTTGAAGTGTGAGTGTCAATATCAACCAATCAGAGATATGCATGAGATGTTCAGAGGAACAAATGAAGCAGGTTGCATAGTTGTTGTTTGATTATCATCATGCGCCAGCGATTTCATTCTGCATATACCACCCAATCATCCACCCATTATACATGTTCGATTGACTGCAAGAATCTAATAATTTTAATAGGGCAAATTAATGCAAGGAGAGACGTCGCAGCTACAGCAGAGATAGAATGCGTAAGGAAGGAAGATGCTACAAATGCGGCAAACGTGGACACAAACAACGTGATTGCTCTAACTCAGCTTCATATTCATCTAGGTCTAGATCCAGTTCATATTCAAGAAGAAGCAGAAGTCCTCGCAGAGGTAGCAGACATTAGAGAAGAGGCAGTCATAGAGACGAAAGACGTGATAGCAGAAGAAGACATAGAAGATCTCCAAGTGATAGTCCAGACTCAAGAAGCAGAAGCGGAGACAGAGATAGAAGAGGTCGCAGAAAGACCAGAAGTCCCAGCAGCCGCAGAAGTTCAAGGTCAGTTGATTCAAGAGACAAGAAGCGTAGAAGTAGAAGCGCAAGTAGTAATAATAAATCAAAGTCCTCACATCGTCATAGCAGCAGACGCAGATCAGAGAGTGCAAAGGGAGGAGACCGCAAATCAAGAGGTAAGAGTATTGAAGATAAGAAGCGACTTTCACCCTCATAAGTAAATAATGGAGGTGATAAGCAAGAGGAGAGCACAGCAACCAACAGAGTAGAGAATGCCGAACACAATGGAGATGCCATTATTCATCAAGAAAAGCAATGAGGTAATTGAAAATTAGAGTCAATTATAGCTAGAAAATCCTGCACTAATTAAAAAAACTTACTTCAATAAATTAAAGTAGAACAAAACCTAAATTCTCTTTTTTTAATAAATTCAACATAAATTGCTTTTTTAGGGGTTTTGGGGTTTTGGGG